AATGTGGTAAGACGTTATCTGAATCCTCTAGGGGAGATGTCTCCTTGGTGTCCCCACCATGTATGTGGTAAATGTTCTTGTTCTGTTACTATAAAAGTTCACGTAATCCCTTCCACTGTGGAACATGTCACTCAGGGTAACCTGGATCCGTGTTCCTGGCTTCGTAGTTGGCTCAGAATAAACTGTCTCTTATTCCCTTTGAAGCAAGAGTTTGTTTTGTGTTGACACACCTTTGCTATGTCTGACCTTGGTTCCTCTCACTGACATGCCCCTTCCTTTTAAGGTTTCTCACAGTCTCAGACCTTTTTCTGATGTTTTCTGTTCAACATGGGGCAACTCAAGGATTCTGGAGTCTGACTCTGTCCCCTGGTTTCTGCACAGAGTTGTATCTTTGTGGCCAGGCTGCTCTAAGTGGCCTGTTGCCCCACCCCCACCCAGAGAAAGTGCCCTCCAGTCCTGCCCTCTGTTCCTGTGCTCCCTCCTACCTCCCCACTCAGATGCTCTCTCTCACAGGTGTTCCTTTAATAAGGCAGAGGGAAGAGGCAGTCCAAGGAGCTGATGGCATGGGGAGTGCAAACCTGAAGTCTCCAGGGTCTGTAGCACTCACCAAGGTTCAGGTCTCTAGGGTGTCAGACACCTGCAGCTCTCAATGCAAAAACACTGGCCCTAGGTTCACCCCAGAACTAAAAATAGATACCCAGGCCTTTACCACATGTGGATGGAATTGGGAGAAAGACCTGCTCCTGCTGAGCAGAAGTCTGACCTCACAAGTGGCAGTTGGGGTAATAACTTACTTTATGACTTAAAAATCACAACTTCTACATATGCTACACCCATAATTCAAAGATTTCGGCCACAGTCACTTGTATTTTGAAAGGCATAGAATTTCTGCACTGTTTTTTTTAGGCTTTTACAAACAACCTTCACATGTGAGGCTATGAAAACCCTGACTCAAAAAGATGCGTAGTTCTGTTTGGTTTCCGTGTTTTGTAATTATATTTACATGGTGCTCTTCCCCTGTGTCTTCAGTACCAGGCATTGACTGGAAAAGCAGCTTTAGGGACAGTCCTGGGGTGCCGGATGTGTGTGTGGGGAAGTGTCCATACTGAGGCCCTGCCTGACAGGGTCCACGTGAAGTCTGGGAATGGCAGAGGAGAGGATGTTTTCATGAGCCAGTAGGCCACCTGCTGATGTGGCCACCTGTTCCACTTTCCTTGTTAGTCATTTAGGGAACATAAAGGAAGCAGAGTCCCTTTCTTTCCATCTTCCAATGAGCACTTTTCTGTATAAAAGATGCCCTAAATCCTTTGTGAGGTCCACGTCCCCACACAGCATGCTCAGAGGTACCCACTGGTCAATGACGATGGGAAGAATTGTGTCCTCTGCTGAACTGCGATTCCTGTCCTCATTAAGTTAACCCGTGAATGGCCAGTGGGCTATGAGGCTGGGATAGCCGGAGCCAGACACTGTCCAGTTTGGTAGGGGTTAAGCTGAGGCTCGGCTATAAACTAGAATTAAAGACAGGCTTTCTGTGAAGACAACATACTCACTGTCCCTCACAATTAGAGAAACACACATCAAAGTGAGCTGTGTCCTGGCTTTTCAGGAGGAGGTGAAAGCACCCAGGAGGATATGTGACAGCCATGTGTGGCACCTCTCGGAGTGGTGAGAGGGTGGTCTGCTGCTACAGGCCAGGAACCATGCCCCAGATTCCACCATCCACTCTGGAAGTTTGTCATAGGTGAATATTTGGTTAATCATAAATATCTGTGAAGATGTTTAGTAGGGAATAGATAGAGTAAACTAAGCTCTGCCCATGCCGTGGAGTGTTAAGCAGCCACTGAAAGCCATGCAGATGTGAGCCTAGTGTGGCAGTACCTGCCTGGACCCCAGCTACTGGGGAGGCTGAGGCAGCAGGATTGAGAGTTTAAGGCCAGCCTGGGCTTCATAGTGAGACCCTTTCTGAAAAAACAGAAAATGCAGTTCTGCACATTCAGACAGGAAAGATCTCTGCCATGGTCCAATTGAAAGCAGCAGACTGCTGTACAATGTGACCTACCTTCCATGAGTAAACAGAGGAAGGGAGGAACAGAGGATTGGCCTGCAGAGACAGGAAGAGCCTGGGACCAGCATCAGCTGTTTGTGATGGCTACCTCTTGGGGGAGGGGAACCTCAGCATCTCACTTCCTCTGCTCATAACATCTGAAGTTTTACAACTCAGATTTATAATCCCAATAATCTGAAAATTGCAAACACAGCCAATAGAAAAGCTGGTTTTGATGAGAAAGGAACCACTGCCACTCTCACTGATGTAGAGGGCTTCCTCAGAGTGGCCCCTGGCCACTCCAGCCCCTCTATCAGACAGGACAAATTCAACCTGCGTGGAGTACTCTCCTCTCTTTCTGCCCACCTTGCTCTGAGGAAATTCATAAGACCTGTCCGTCTGGCTCATTTCCAAATTCAGCTTCTTGAGAATTTGATTTTTAGCAATGTGCTACATTCCTCTCAATTGTATGGTAGTTTGATTGAGCACTGAGCAGAAATAGGTTCTAATTTACCTTTAACATAAATGTAGTTAAGGGTCAGAGCACACAGACATGCATACACACATTCAAGCACACACACCCGTAGGCACACCCATGCACACACACACACATACACGCAAGCACACACCCACTGCACACATGTAGGCACATCTGTGTGCACACATCACATACACACAGGCACACCCACATGCACACACCCATGCACACATGCACTCAGGCCCGCTCTGCTGACAGGGGCTCCAGTTCAGTGGAGCTGAGGGAGGGTGTGTTCAGCCTGCAAGGCAGGGATGGTCAGGTGCTGGGTCACATCCCTTGGACTGCCACCCTCACTTCTTGGTCTTCCCATATCCACCAGAACTTGTGAGGAGGTGTCAGCTGGAGCAGTGAGAGTCTCCAGGGAGGGCAGCTGTTTCCACAGTCCTCAAAGGTGTCAAGTAGCCACAGGACCCTGCCCGTGCCTCTCCCCTGGGTATAGACACTGTGCTTCAGGGCCTCAGCACTACTGACAGCAAACTTACTCGTACTGATATGAATCAGAGTTTATTGTACTATCTACATGGCTCTTTCCCATCCCGGGGTAGAGTTTGGGGCATTCCACATACACAGCACTTAAGATTACATATTAACAAGTGCTCACCACATCTGCTACTGGTCAGTTTGTCAATACTCCGTTTCACCAGGGACAGGACCCAGTCCACTCTGTTTATGTCTGGCACGTGGTTGGCTGAGGTGACCGTGTCCCCCATGCACATTTGGATGCCTGTGTGTGACCAGCGACTTCTCCTCAGTGTCTTCTCAGGTCACAGCATGGTGTCCACACGTGGACACCTTTAGATATGGCAAAGCTTTGTTTTCACAAGACTGCTACAGTGAGTGGGAACTGGGTGGAGATGGAGCTGAATGGAGGCGGGGCTGACCCTAGGGCTTCCAGCATTCACCGCTTTCCTCTTGCTGCGCCTTGTGTCCTGCCCTTGAGCCTGTGGCCCCAGGAAGGGAGTGTTAGGTGTTCTCTAGATCCTCTGGCCATACACCTACCATGCCTCCAGACAAACTGGGAGCTCATTCAGAAAAAGTCCAGAAGTGGTAATATTAGATGGGGCCATGTAGACAGACATAGGCAGGATGGAAGCCTGGTTGCTGAGCTTGAGCTGGTCTCCGCACACTTACTGCTCCACTGTCCTATGGCCTGACCATTGGTCAGCCTGTCTGATCTGGGTGTGGGACCATCACTGTTCCTGGCCCTGCCAACCTCTGGCCCTGGCACAGCCATTGAGATCATTAGTATCTGTGCTGGCACAGGAAAAAGACTTTGCAGCCTTCACTTTGGGGAGCAAATGGTGTAAAATGTGCTTGGAGCACTGGGTTCAGCAGCTGTGGCCTTTGCACTGAGCTGGGGTGCAGTCTTCAGGGTCTCTGGGTGCCACAGGTACTGTGCCCTGTCCCACCCCTATGGCCACGTCAGCAGTCTCCCCCAGATCTGCCTCTCCATGTCTGCAAACAACCAGCGTATGAAAAGCAAGGACTGCCTTTTGCAAATATTGGATAGGAGTGCTTGATACCATTTGCTATTTTGATAAAATAATTCTCCACTTAAATGGAAATAACTTTAAGATTATTTTCACTAAAAAGACAGCAGGTTTCCTGTTGCCAGACAGCTTCTCTATCTGTGTGGCTGATCACCAGGGGCCTGAAGCCTGACCAGCCAACCTGGGGCTGATGGCTTTCTGTGGCCTCCCTGGGGCCATTCGGGGAAGCTCCAGGCACTGAGAAGCAGGCAGGGGCAGTTGTGGAGCTGCCCCAGGAGGCCACTGCATTTTGACTGGAGACCCACTGAACTTCACATGTCCTCCCTTAATCATCTCATGGTCATTACCTGAGTGATCAGGGTGCGACTGTCCTGGTGATGAGGCCTGAGGGGACAGTTCCAGAGGGCAGGACTTTGGGGTTCTGGGGACCAGGACAGCATCCAGGAAGGAGGGCTGCTCTCAGTGGCTTTCCCTGGCCTGGCTTGAGGGGCAATTTCATGGAAGCCCTAACCAGGCCTCTGTGTCCAGGAGACAGAGATGATGATGGGTGGTTATGTCCAGCCCAGTTTTGGGCCTGGCTCTATTGACAGGAGGTGACAGGGAAATTAGAAACCCTCATCCTCTTTAGAGGCAGGTGGGCCGTGAAACCTGGTTTTGATGTCCAGGAGCCACCTGACCCCTGTTCTCTTTTGCGGATACACCTATTACAAAGCTGAGCAGACATTCTAAATGCTGGAGCCTAAAAATAATTTGTGATTAAATCAAGTCGATTACAACATGGCCCTGTTCACATAGGATCAAGTTGACTGCAAGGACCTGGTAGATCGAGGTACTGACTGACCCGACAGGACACAAAACCCTGGGGTAGGAGAAAGCCAGCACACCCATGTGTCACATACTGTAGTCTGCTCAGTAATGAGGGATGCAGCTAGATGACTGAAGTCTCCGTCTGCAGAAAGGACTGGGCACGGGAGCCCCGGTGTATCTGCAGGGCGCTTTCTGAGCCATTCCGGGACATGGACCAGCTGTGCAGTCGGTAGTCACGGCTCCCAGACTGGGTGGAGTATAGGCCCCGCCACCTCCTTTTCAGCTCACACTGCACCTAGGGGTGAGAGTGTCCAGTGAGCAGTGAGCTCAGGAGGTGGGAACTCATGTGTCCCCCGCAGAGCTCAACTGGGGACCCACCAGTGGGAACGCAAGTGTCCCCTACAGAGCTTAGCTGAGGATCCACCAGTGGGAACTCCTATGTCCCCTGCAGTGCTCAGCCAAGAACCCACCATAACTCCCTCTGCCTGCTCCAGGTGTGGAGGGTGAGTTGCCATTTCTCCACATCCTGATCAGATGGACAAAGATGAGCTTGGGGAGACAGGGAGTGGAGAAGGGCTGGGAGAGACCCAGTCAGAACAACAGGAACGTGCTCTGTCAGTCACTCCAAGATGACCAGCGTGGGTTTGGAGAAAAGGCCATGCCACCAGACCCGGCTGTGTGTTTTTGGGACTTTCTCTGGCAGCCCAATGACTATGCTCTGGCTGAAGTTTTACTCTCAGGCTGTTTGGTGAGTGAGGATTGGTCCAACTTTGTGGAAGGTGTCAGACACAGACAGATGCCAGTGGCACAGGACTGGACTGGGGAATTCATGGAGGGGATCTCGGGGCCACTGGGGAGAGGGAACCGTGTGGGGTATGTCTTGCCCCGGGCACAGTCCCCAGCCCTTGTAGGGTCCTCACAGATTTCCTTTCCCTCTGAGGACTCAGAGGGCAGAAGGTGCTGGAGGGGTTGGCTGCAGGAAAAGTCCTTCTTCACTGATTGGAGAGATGGGCCATCAGGTGGAGGGTCACATGGGGACAGTTGGTAATGTGGGATGCACAGGCCCCAGGGCCAGAGGACAGGGGGGGAAGTGAGTTATGTAGGCAGAACAAGGCTCCCTGCTTTATCTTGAGACTGGACTGGTGCATCTCCCATGAGGTCTTATCCCTTCCCACCGAGGCCTGGGACTTTTAGTCGTGGGTCAAGAAACAAGAGTTCCATGGAGGGAGGAAACCAAGGTTTTGCTGGAAGGGGAAGAAGCTGTGCCAGAGCAGAGATTTGGGGAAGTGGGCTGGGTCTTTGCTCTGTGGGGCCCAGAGGGGCAGACGTGGACAAGGAGCCTGACCCGGATGCTAAGGCTCTATTGGGGCTGCCTCCCTGACCCAGTGTCTGTGCAGGGTTCCCATGACAGGGACTTACTTCACTGTTCAGGAAGCAGTAGAGAACCGCCACGACCAGGCCCTACAAGGAGAAGGGGTGTCAGGGCTAATTGTGGTGTGGCCCTCCCTGCATGACTGCTTCCCTCACCTACCTGGAAGGAGCCGACACACAGCTCAAACAGGATCTGATACGTGGAGGAGATGCCAATGGGGAAGGCAGCAAACACCATGTAGTGGACACCAAACAGAGGGATGAGCAGCAGTGTGGACTTGGCGAGCCTCCTGGCAGAAGAAGAGGGATGCGGTGGGCGGCGCCCTGGGCTCCCACGCGTGTGGCCGAGGCAGGTTGTGGAGGCTGAAGGAGTTGTGGGCCTGGGACACGCATAGGCGGTCACTCTTCCTGAGCCCAGCAAGCCTGGGCACCCCAGCCCTCTCTGCTCAGCACTTAGGTGGAATGTGTGAGTGAGGGGAAAGCTCTCCTGGGGTGTGTTGTGGTCCCCAGGGGATTCCCTGACTTTTGTCACAAGTGTCAATAGTTGGGCACGCCTGTCTGGAACAAAGTCTAGCTTCAGATCAAAAGCAGGGCTGAGTCTGTGGCTCAGGGGCAGAGTGATTGCCTGCATGTGCAAGGCCCTGGGTTCCACCCTCAGCACTGCAAAAATCAAGTGGATGGCGACCAGGGATGGTCCCACAGCACAAAGAAGGGCCTAGCAGCTACTGACAGGTCCTAGCAGGAAATCCCGGAGGTGCTCTTGTTGATGTAGGTATCAACAAGGCTAGAGGGGACTCACTGCTAGGAACCAGACACGTCACTTAGGAGAAACACCAATTTCTTCAGCTTATTTTTGAGGCATGGGCCTCAGATCTACACTTGGGGAAGCATGCAAATTCTACCATCCTACAGCAATGCCATATCCCGTGGGGTTCACTAAAGGCAGAATTCCCCCTCTTGGATGATTTGCGTACACCCCAGAAGTCTGCTCCGCTGTTGAACACCTGGGCAGAACAGGCTCCTCTCAACAAGCAGCTACTTACTATAATAGAATAGGCATCTGTATGATCCAGTGGGGACAGTGTGGTCCACAGTGGTCATGAGCAAGACCCACAGGCACCTCCACCAGCAGGCTGTCACTGGCAACTGCCCTCCCATTGTGAGTGTGCACTTTAACTAACTCAACCCAGGCTCCTCTGCACCAGCCCCTCACCAGGGCAGGTGGGCACTGTGTATTTAACTGGTGTTAGAGGGAACCTTCCAGGTCCTGCCACTGGCATGGCCCACTGTGGGGAAGAGCTATGGGTGAGGCGGGCCTCCAGCCCTTCTTGGCTATGACCCTTCCATCACCCTGGAAAAGCACAGATTTCATTACCCCACGTAATTTTGTTTCCAAAATGAAAGCATCCATCTTAAGACCTACTTAACTAACACTCTCCAGGAACCCAGAGAAAAGGTCAGCACAGACACTAAACAAGATTTGCAGAAAATCCAAATTCAATTGAAGGGCAACCAAGAACGACTTCATTCTGCCTTCTTTGTCTGCAGGCGTGAGGCCAGGGGCCACAGGCTTCTCCCTGTAGACACCGTGGGGGTGTCTCCTGCTTCATCACCCACAGCCTGACAGGGCATCTCCAGTGTGAGCTGCACAGAGAAACTTGTCCCTCAGATTTTTGCACCTTGTGACTCAGTCGGACTTAATTGTCTACCAAACCCTTTCAGGATTCTTCTGTGCCAGGCACTGAATGTCTTTAAAGTCTTAACTCAATGGGCCTCAAATCTTACTGACAAACCATTTCACAGGTGAGGAGACTGAGACTGCATGGACAACTTCCTTTAGCCCCACTGGGCTAAGACCCAGTGCTGCTGGCTCAGTGTCCACATGCATCCTGTTTTCTGAGGAGCAGGAAAGGGGGTCCAGTTGGGCAGCTCCTTCAAGGTTGGTGATTTGCTATGTCACTTAGGTGACATAGCTCTTTGCTGGTATAGCCCTGAGTCTGAGGCTCCTTCCAAGATGGATCAAATATGTCAACAAAGCAAATACATTGAGGCAAAGATCCTGTTTATTTTGTACTTGAGTGGGGATTTTACTTTTTTCTTTGTGAATTATGGGAGGCAGTTTATGAAATCTTCAGGTTTTTTCATGATTTCTCAGATCATGAGAAATTGGCTGGTGACTTCTCCAACATCAGCCCTGCTCCTCCACCACTGAGAGGAATGGAGCTCTGCACCTGATCTGCCAGCCAGCACTTACTTGTTACTAAGATAGGCCTGGTACCAGGTGCTGGACAAGCAGCCCAGGCCATAGGCTCTGACAGGGAAGACAGAATTAACATGAAGTAATATGACATGTGGTCAAGGGGAAAAAGCAGGCTGCGACCTAGGAACGTGACCATACACCTAAGCATCTCATTCACTAAGGGAACTCCTCCCACCCCCGCAAGAAACAAGAGAGAAGGCACCTGACTTCAGCAATGGCCATGGTAATGCTGCCTTTTGGCCTTTGAGCGCCAGGCCATCAGACCTGGGTATTGTCATGGCTGCTGCAGTACCTTGGGGACCTTCCTTAAGTCGGTGCTGGGCTTTGGTCCCTACACATCTTTCTGTGTGTGCTGGCCACTGCTGGATAAGGAGATACTCACTTGTATTGTGACTGGTCATTGCCACCAACATCTGGGGATGTTAGCTTCTGCAGTAAAATCCTGATAATGCTGACAAAGAGGACAAAGTTTACCTGCAGGGAAAGGGATGACACTCGAGTGTCTGAACTCACATGGCAAGGGGTGTGTGGGCATCTTCTGAGCTCATCCCACCTGTGGGGCTCTGGCATCACCGATTACAAGACCCAGAACCAGCACTGGGTCAGCCCGTCATGCGGCAGTGAACCCTATTTTTGCTGCTGAAACCACCACCAAGAGAGGCTACTGTGGCTTGAGCAATTGGGGATATGAAAGGGACAAATGTAAGTCCCCCTGCCCTAGCATCCCTCTGACCTCCACCCTCGGCCTTCTTCTTTACCTCGGGCTCTACTGGAGGCATAGATCATGGTGGGGGTTTTTTTTTCCCCAGGCTTGGGTGTAGCCCTTCTATAGTGAGGCTGAGTGGAGCCAGCCATTTGTACTCAGGGAAGGACGGCAGCCACTGGGCCAAGATGTGCAACAGCAGAGCAGGCCCGTCTCAACAAGCAGCCACTTACTATTATAGAAATGAGAATGGGCATCCGTATGACCCACCAGGGGACGCTGTGGTCATTTGTGTCCCAGCAACTGTTGGAGAGACAGAAACTGTGTCACACCAACTCCATCCACAAACCAGGTGCCTGGGCAGAAGTGTGCACCTGTGTGCTGACCTCTTACATGGACTTGTGGAACAAACCTGTCCCCTGCACAGGCCTCACACTCCATCCATTTGTTCATCTCACCCTGGTCTAAATACCATGGCCCTGCATGTAGAAGCATCTGTCCCCAGCAAGTCAATAGGACAGGTTGCAAATGGGGAGGGGACTGTGTGTGGCCAAGGGCTAACCCTTGCAGGTCAGTGAGGCCTAGGCTTATCAGCCTTGTTCCACAAGACATAAGGAAGAAGGAACTTTTTCTCCTGAAAGCTCATCTCCTCCAATATTTTATGTATGTACTATAAATGAAGGTTTAAAAATTGCCTTCAGAAGAGCTGAGCTGAATGCAGCTGGGATGTTCCACACAGCAATAATTTCATTCTTGGTTTTCAGCATAAGTGTTGTCTGTAGCAAGAAGTTGCTTGTAGGTGGCCTCCAAAGTACTCCCACCTCCATGACCACAGCCCTGCAGTAGACACTGGCTGTCCATCAAGAGAAGAGTCTACATCCTCGTCCTGTAATCTAATTGGGTCTGAGCTTGAGCTTGCATCCACTTGCCCCAACATGCCGGGCGGGAGAAGCCTTCCAGCTGATGCCACCTCAGCTGCCAGCCCCATAGCATGGAGATGGCTCTGAGCAAGCCCAGCTGAGGAGAAACCTGACAGGGTCCCCCAAGTTGTCCGTATGCAAAGTCACACACTCAATAAGTTGACTGCCTTAGGCTGCCCACCTTGGGGAGGTCTGCCTCTCAGTGGACTACACCCAAGGCCCTTTACAATGCATACTGTGGCTGGGGAAGGCGGCATGGGGCGTGTGCTTAAGATCAGGGTCTGACTCTCTGTGGTCAGAACTGGAGCTTTGGGTCTCTAGCTCAAAAAGTCCTTGAGAGAGAAGAGTTGGTCATGGAGGTCACCAGCTAGCCATTCAGTCTGATCTCAAAGCTTTGGTGTAGCACATGCTGGCCCCTGCTGGCTCTCTTCTATGGATACTGCAGTGCCACATAGACATGCCCCATCTCTGTCTGCTTTATCCCAATCTTAGCTACACTGAGGGTGTGGCTTGATTCCCATCTCTCATGGGAATCAAATACAAATACATCAACCCCTAAGGAGTCCTCCCCATAAATGTCCACATCTTCTTAGGGGTGCTAAGTGCTGCCTATCACTGTCTTGATGGCTGTGATGCTCCTGTCCTTCCCCAGTCAAGCTTTCTAGTTTCCACTCAGCCTGCTCTGCTGGCCACGTGTTACAGGATGCCGTGTGGGTATAGCACTCACCCTGTGTCTTCTAGAGAGAGCCGGGCAGCCGTCCATGCACCTATGCAGATGGTGGGGATGCCTGCAGAGAGATACCTCATTAGACCAGCTGGTGCTCCTCAATGAGGAGTAGCACACAAACTTGGCCTTGGGAGCCAGAACTGCCAAGGAATGAGTGCCTGGCCAAGGACCACATGCATGCTCTTGTATGAAGTCTTTATAAATATGTACAAGTTTGCCCTCACACCCTATCAGGCAGTGAAGACAGTTAAATGTGTCTGAAAGCTGAGACTCTGGTCAGACCTGAAACTAGTCTAGTAGAGAGTGTGACCAAACACAGGGAGACCAACATATGAGAAGAGGGACACTACTGCCTTAGTGACACCCGATGGGCCTGTGGGTTGGCCCCTCTTGGCAACGTGACATCTAACTCTGGGTCTTTTCTGCTCTGGGCAGAGCCAGGTTCCTGCTAGTGTCCTGTTATCTGCTCCTTCTCTGGTCCCTCTCCTATTGATTGCCCACTGTTAGTGTGAGCTGGCTAGGAAGGGAGAGGAATATACCATTTGGCTATTTGTTAGTAGCTCAGTTTGAATTTGGGGGACAAAGGGCCAGGAACAGAGATCTAAATCATTTTAAATCAGATCCCTGGTTACCAGAAACAGTTAGATGTTGCCTGTAGGAGCCCCAAGTCACCTAGCACTACCCTGAGGTATACCCTCAGGCCAGCAGTGTCCTGAGCTGAAGTCTGTGCACACAGGTCAGGTGGGACAGGAATTGGGTATGGGGTGCATATGGGCAGCTCTTACCCCATCCGATGAGGAGGTAAGCCAGGAAGCATCTGCTGGGGGGTAAGACGGCTACCAGGAGAGTGTGCAGGTACAGTCCCTCTACGAGGAGCCAGTAGAAGTTCGCCATGATGCAGTACTGGAAGAACACCAGGGTGAGCTTGCAGCCGACCTGGAACCACAGACAAGAAAATTCTCTCCTGGGTAAAAATAGTTGTGGTAGGCGAGCTGCTCTGTGTGTTTGGATAAGGAATAAAGGACAGCCAGGGTGCCGTCTCTAGATGACTGTGATTAATACAGTGGCCCTGGTGTCGGCCAAGAATGTGTGTTATATTGCAGTGAGGCACTTTGTATACACGATACCCGGGTCCATCTGCTCAGAGCTTCTGAACTCCTCAAAGAGAAACACAGGCAGGGAGGCGAATGTAAACACCCTCTTGAGAACAGGGTGCTGGTTCCTGGGGAGCCAGCTGCTGGCCGCCCTCCTAGGCACCAGGCTTACAACCTCCACCTTCCTGCCCTGTCATCCCTGGCTCCCCCAATGTGTCCTTCTGTCTGTCCTTCCTCCACTGTCCACTCAAGGCTCTTGCCTTCCCCAAGATATGCAGTGGAGGAGGGGTAGTAGGGTTCTGGCTGGTGGAAGAGCCAGGTGAGATGTTAAGTGTGCACCGAGGGACCTGCTCAGGATGTGCCTGGACACTTGGCTGCTATCGGTGGCCTGACGCTGGTGGGGGATTGGATTCTGCCCAGTGCATCTGTAGCTACTCTGTCCCCACCTCTGAATGAAGAATGAGTGTGCGCCCATGTTTATTGCGGCACTATTCACAATAGCCAAGTTATGGAAACAGCCAAGATGCCCCACCACTGACGAATGGATTAAGAAAATGTGGTATCTATACACAATGGAATTTTATGCAGCCATGAAGAAGAACAAAATGTTATTATTCGCTGGTAAATGGATGGAATTGGAGAACATCATTCTGAGTGAGGTTAGCCTGGCCCAAAAGACCAAAAATCGTATGTTCTCCCTCATATGTGGACATTAGATCAAGGGCAAACACAACAATGGGATTGGACTATGAGCACATGATAAAAGCGAGAGCACACAAGGAAGGGGTAAGGATAGGTAAGACACCTAAAAAATTAGCTAGCATTTGTTGCCCTTAATGCAGAGAAACTAAAGCAGATACCTTAAAAGCAACTGAGGCCAATAGGAAAAGGGGACCAGGAACTAGAGAAAAGGTGAGATCAAAAAGAATTAACCTAGAAGGTAACACTCACGCACAGGAAATCAATGTGAGTCAACTCCCTGTATAGCTATCCTTATCTCAACCAGCAAAACCCCTTGTTCCTTCCTATTATTGCTTATACTCTCTCTACAACAAAATTAGAGATAAGGGCAAAATAGTTTCTGCTGGGTAGCGAAGTGGGGGGGGGAGAGGGAGGGGGCGGAGTGGGTGGTAAGGGAGGGGGTGGGGGCAGGGGGGAGAAATGACCCAAGCCTTGTATGCACATATGAATAATAAAAGAAAAAAAAAAAGAATGAGTGTGCGCCAAGGCCTGAGGCACAGAGGTCATGTCCCTTATAGCACTTCAGGTGATGAGAGGTTTGGGAAGAGGAAACAATGAGCCAAAACTAAGTTCTTAGACTTAAAAAAATATTTTTTGACGATCTTGTAAGTTCCTCAGTTGTAGAAGAGTGTTTTTAATTTTGGTAAATTAATTAGAGTTGAAAAATAAAGGGAACAGAAAAATCTGGCAAATGAACTCTCTTCCCCAGGAGCTCTGAAAGGGTTTTCTCTGGGAAAAATGACAGATTACACGTAGTCAGCCCATTTCAGTCTCTTGGATCTTTTATACAGCCAAGCACACCAGGTGTTTCACTTCATGAGCAAACATGAAACTGCTGCTTCAATCACTGCATGTGTGTACAGTTTCCCAACAAAGAATAACATTCCAACTCCGTTATTTTCGTTTCTTCATCTATGCAGACACATATCCATAGATACAGAAAATAGGCAGGAATACATACATGTGGAAATACTTGTGTGTACGGGTAGGTGCACTGCAATTGGAACGGATGTACTCATGCACATAGTGGGTGTATATTCCTACGCACATGTTGGTGGACACGCATTTGTTTCTGTAGATGGGATGGATAAACTTACACATACAAATACACGAGTAGATACACTTACGGGAAACATGGTGGTCTTTTGAGCTGGTCTCCAGGGCCATGAGGATCTTGACCCTGGCAGCCTGCTGAGCCTACTACACCTGTGCCCTCCTCTCCAGCACTCACCCCCACTGGGCTTGTTTCCCTTTTCTCTGAAGTGGGGCAAGATGCAGGCAGAGTAATCCTCATTTGTAGGAACAGCCCAGTACCAGGCACTTCTTACTGTTCCTCTTCACCACCAGTGTTGGATCCCGGAAAGTTCCAACCTGGGGATTAGGACAGAGCCTGTGCATCCAAGGAGAGATGCTACACAACCCAATCTGAAAACAGGAAAACTAATGTATACAAATTTGTGACTTGCTACCACTCATCAGAATAGTGGGTGAAATAAATTAAAAAATCTTTGGAAGGGGGATTCTGGGAGTTGAAATCCCACCTGAAGGTATCTTGCTTTCTTTTGACTTTGATAAGAGACTCCCTACTGCAAAACATAAAACTAGTAAATTAACAATGAATTAAAGACATAAGTGAACAAATTTAAAGAAAAATCTCTCTTAATACAAGTGCATCAGAGACCTGCTGGTGCTGGTGTGAGGCCAATGACCCTTGCTGGTTGTTTCAGCCTTTTTGAAGGCAATTGAGCAATACTTTTAGTACAGCTTAAAAATACAGCCACCCCTTGCAAGGGACCAAATGCTCTGCCCCCAAATTTATGTGTCAACTCCTAACCCCAGGTGATGGTATTAGGAGGGCTTTTCTGGGTGATGAGGTCAGGAGGGTAGAACCTGCTGAAGGATTGAAGCCAAGGGAAAGGCTCCCATGCATTCCCATCAGGTGAGGATGAAGTGAGAGGCCAGCCCCCCTAGGGTCCAAAGAGCCCTCACAAGATGCCGAATTAGCTGGCGCCTTGATCTTAATCTTGATCCAACCTCCAGAACCACGAGAAACAAGTGTCTGTTGTCTGAGCTGCTCTCCGTGACATTCTGTCATGGAGGCCCAAGCTGAGACCCTTTGACCAATAGCTCCACCTGTGAGTTCCACCTGACAGAAACACCAGCACTGCTTCATGAAGGAGCACAACCAGGGGCATCTACAAGCAGCAAACACGTCAAGCCAAGAGTGTGCCCACAGTGGGGCTAGATGAAGCACAGTGTCATGCATGGCCAGTGGCCACCTGGACAGCAGGAACAGTGGCTGGTCTGAGGTCTCTGTGATGTATGTGGGATGAGGAGTAGATGGTACAGAAGGGTTCATGTTTTCATAAAATGGTGACAGAAACATTGTCTCTCATTTCCTCCCATTTCTCATCTCCCACAAGTGTGAGGACAGGAGGTCTGGGGAACACCAGGTTGTTATCTGATCTCATCTTCTACAGCTGTAGCCCTCAAACCATGTCCCACAGCACTGACAGCATGTGGGGCTGGCAGATGACATGGGACTCTCCAGGGTCTGCTACCATCCAGATAGGTCAGGGAGAAGGCACCAGCAAGGTTAGTCTCTCTAAGGCTGGGATCAGTCAGCAGCTGGTTCCTTATAGACCCGAGGTCCTGCGTGGGAGCCTCTGTGTGAGTGTGCATGTGTGCACGTGTGTGCACGCTTGTGTGACTGGGGTCTGTGTGCATGTGGGTACACACACATCTGTCTGCAATGTATGTGTTTGTGCATACACGCATTTGCTTGGGGTATGGTGTATATGTGCACACACATGTGCCTGCAGTGTATGTGTGTGTATTTTTGCATAGTTTTGCAGATGGGTTTTTGCATGTTTTGCATGTGTGTGTGCTGTTCATGTCCCTGCTTCCTGACCCCTCTGCTGTTCTGACATGGGTTGTGGGCCTGAGACCCTGTGCAACATGGTCACTATGATGTTGTCTCTGTGGCCTTCCAGCCAAAATCTTTGGTTTGACCCTCTCTGCAGCCCCTCAGGCAGTGGGCTATGGCCAGGTCAGAGCTCAGATCTGGAAGGTGTAGCCCTGCTTAGCTGTCTGTGCCTCACTGCAGCCTTGCATCTATTGTGTCCCCACTGCCCCTGCCCTGGGGAAGGAAGACCTCAGGCTTAGTAAGCTAGGGTTGGGCTTCTCAGTGTCCACAGACTGTGAAGAATCTTCTCTGGCCTCTGGTGAGAGTAAACTGCTCTGAGGCATGAGAGCAGCTCAAGAGTCCAGAGGAAGCCAAGCAGCTGTCACCCATGTGGAAGGGCAGCTCCATCAGCCTCCCCTGGCAGGAAGAGGCCTCTTTCTGCTCTGGCTACTCCTGATGCCTCAAGAAAAAAGACTCTGTCCCTGTTCTGGGGGAGACCCCAGGTAAGTTGCTGGGAAGATGATGCTCACTTGGCAAAACCTGGCAAGGAACAAAAACGTCAAGAACATGGAGTTTGTTCCTTATGCTCTTGTCTAATTTACTCAATGCTTTGTCATTCTTAGGGGCAGCTCCTTCCTTTCCTTCTCTCCTTTGCTGTGTTCTGCTCCTTCCTCCTCCCCGTTGCCTCTTTGCCCTTCTCACTCCTCTCTGTCCTCTCCTTGGTCAGAATCACAGGGTCATTGGTACAGAGGCACAGCTGGACCCTCTGCTCCCCAAGCTGGACTCTGGGAACAGACCCAACACCTGCTCCTCTTCCCAAGTCTCACCCTCAGCTCTCTTACAATGGACAAGCAGGTGGACCTAGGGTTGGATCCTCATACAGTGGGCCAATTGCAGGATTCCCTCAGCCAGGGTTCCTTGTTTGTGAAGCAGGGCAATTGCTATTTCAGAGGTAACTGAGAACTTACCAACAGTGTCCAGGGAAATAACCTGGCACTAGGAAGAAACTCAACAAATGTAGGGGGAGGCAGAGATTCCCTGTAGGAGTTGGCAACGGTAGGGCAGGGTCACAGTACTTCTCCAACCCCACTCTGCTTGGGAGGTGCCTGCTGCTGCTCCTTTGTATTTCTGTGCAAAGAGGTTGGGTCCTTCAGGTCTCAGTGGCAAGAGTGTGCTGTGAACCGCTGCTCCAGACAGACATGGTGGTCTGCTGAGGATCACTTTTTCTTTAAACAAAGAGCTTAGGAAAGACAGTTCCAAACAGCCGCTCTGAGGCCACCGCAGCGAGAGGGCCGCTGGTGTTGTCCCTTGTTCTTTACCCGCTGCCATGCGTATGGAGAGACCCTTGTCTCCCGACACAAACTCCAGGGGCACCAATTTCCACCTGGTGCTGGGATTTGCCAGGTGAGGGATCTCATTTTCTGACTTTGTTACTATGACAGACTCCTCTCATTAACCAACTCTTGCGTCATGAGCCAAGCTATCCCTGGAAGCATATTTATTTGTAGGGGACCTTGGTGGCCTATAAACAGCTGATGTGCTAGGGAGCTACAAAGAACTCTCCTGTCTCAAAACGGAATTAATTCAAATCTGTCTGGCCAAGCAACCATGTCAGTAAATGATCTATCTGCCTAGAGTGGTTGGGGGGTGGGAGGTGAGTCCGGCCACCTGGCTTCTTGCAGAAGACTGTTGCCCATCTCAGGGCTGAGACCTCAGATCAAGACAGATGTGCCAGAATCCCCAGTGTGGAGGTTTATGCATGAGTAAGAAAAGCATGGGAAGACTCACATGTAGAGGTGCTCAATAATATTTGTTGAACTAGTTTGACTTGCTTAGGTTCTAAATAACCACTAATCACCACAAACAGAGCCAAGGGAGGGTGACTGGGCACACAGAACAGCCTCTCCTGCGTTGGTAAACACTGATCATTAAGATTTTTTTCCTCCTTGCATTAGAAGAGTGCACCTCAGACATGCAGTTGGGTCCCCACCAGGCAATGCATGAATCTTAGTCACTGTCAGGTTGATCCCTCCAGCAGAATGGATGGAAGCTTTTATTGTTTAGAACTGGGCAATTTAGACAGAAAATGCATGCTCATCCATGTTAGAATTCCCGCAGAAGCTGCCACCACCACCCTGTCTCTGTCTGAGTCTGCTGGGGTCAGAGCTCAGGGACCTTTGACTTCCCAGCTCCTGCAGCCGCCTGGATGGCACCCATCCCCATGCCTCTGTATGACCCCTGTGTCTCCATGTGACCTCTCCTAGTCTTGGCTGCTGATTCAGTCCAACTCTGACCAGGACTGCGTGCCAGCTCTGTCACTTCAATGCCCTGAGAGGAGGGAGGATGGTGGGTGCTGCCTCCCCCAGGCAGGACCCTGCCTTTAGGGAAGGGACAGCCTTACCCAGGAGGATGGTTGGTCTGGGCAGTGCAGTGTGCCTGAGCTGGAGTAGAGCACATTGTCCTTGACCAACACTGAGACGGCCCTCAGGATGAAGGAGAGAAACAGGTTCAGGTGGATGTAGTTCCGGGTGCAGTGCAGCTTCCTGGAGGAAGGGGGTGGAGGTGAAGTGAGAGGGAGAGATCATCAGATGCTGGTTTTTTGAACACCTTCATCACCACCTGTGTGGCTTTGATCTTTCTTTCTATGAGGTTACTCATTTATTTAACAATTCCATTAATTTAGGTTGTTCAGTTTTGCATTATGACAAATCTTTTTTCCCCTTTATTTCACACTGTTTCCTTAGGTTGGATTTCAGGATAAAGGTACAAAGTCACACATGAGCCCACCCCACAGGAGTGAGAGATGGACAGTTTCTGCAACCCCAGCATCACCCACATGGCTGGCATGACTGAACTGTGTCATTGCATCTTCCTCTCCTGTCTTGTTTGGAGTCTTCTTCAAGCTCCCATTCTTCTATTTGCGGCACAGCAGCAGTGCCAGCCTTGTCCATTCCAAAGTTAATTAATTACTACATGGCTCAAAGGCTTGGATGCTAACTTCTGCATTGTGGAGAGTGGAGTACATAAGCACAGCTGTATCAAATACACTGCAGGCTTGAGTTTGGCACAGCCCCAAACCACAGTAGGGAGAAAGTGCAGTTATGCCCAATAAACTGCAGGCTTGAGTTGGCACAGCCCCATCTGCAGAAGTGGGCAAGATGCAGTACAGCTGTTTTTCCTAAGATGTTTATGTTCAGAAAGAAGTGGTCACAGGTTCCTCCTGTTCCTGAGAACTGCTGCTCCACCTCGTTTTGCCACTGTATGTAAAAAACTCGCTGGAGGTGGAGGCTGCTGTTGCGTGTCTCCATCCGAGCACCCAGCCTACCTGGCCCCAGCTTTGTGCATGTTTGGTCTTTTGTCTTTTGTCCTTTCTGCATCTCCTATCACCCTCAGTTAAGTTTCTAGGACAAGCTCATGAGGAATGCGAGAGGTAGTGCTCAAACAATGCATAACTTCTTGCATCAGATGGGAAAACTGCCTTTTGTAAAAGTTGAGTTTTCTCCCAGTCATGCTAATGCCAAAGATGGTTGACTCTCCCTGGACCACCCTGGGAGTCCTGTTTTGGGTGGAGGACCTGCACTTGGTCTTCTTGTCTCTCCACGCATGGCCCAGCCACTGTCCTCACCCCTTCTGTACTGTCCCTTGAGAAGGAATCTCCTGGTAAGCTAAGTGCACAGGTCAATGTCCTCCTGCTTCACTCACTCACACAGGCTTAAACCTGTCCTTCGACCCTCTCATGACCCATGACCCATGTTGACCAATCAGCAGCCACAAGCTATACTGAACAAATGAGACTGAAATGTGGCTACTCCATTTGATTTCAAATTTTGAAGTTATTATTATTATTATTAATTTTGACGGTGCTGGGGTTTGAACTCACAGGCTCATGCTTGCTAAGCAGGTGATCTTACTGCTTGAGCCACTCTGCCAGCCCTTTGATTTCAAATTTTATGTAATTTTAATGTTTAGAAAGCCAAAGTAGTATAAACTATTTTTTTGTGGTACACAACTTCCTTGTCTTGGTAGCACTATCTCTCACTTTAACCGATGCATTGTCTATGCACTTATTGTATTTTGTATGTACATTCATATATAAATGCATGTCTGTGTGTGCTCACTGTATGAGACGTGTATTCATTCTACCATTACACATAAATAAGCCACCATCTACCTGATGTCAACTGATATCAGTTTGATTGATGTTTTTGCATGAATGGAACACGTAATACTTGTGCAAATCAACTGGTTATTAAATGGAAAAATACTGTTTTGTTATGAGTAATTTTCTTGCTTCAAAATAATGTGGGCAAGTTTTAGAATTTAAAGTGAAGGCATACTACTGACTTAGAAGTACATGAAGAAGAGAGACCAGTGCTGTGGCCATGAACTGTGAGTGCAGTAAAAGAAGCCTGGATGAGTCATGTTGAAAATTTCACAGTGAATGGTATCCACAATTTGCTGTGGTGGAAAAAGTGAAAAAGCTCTTTGTTGCGTTAAACATTATTGAGATAATGAGGTGGATTAAGATGGAGAGATGTTTTGAGGAAGTGCATATTGAATTTGATAAGAAATTTCCCAAAATTATTCATCTGAAATCAGAATTAAAAATCCCAACAAAGGCCTGTGAAATGGTGTAGGGGCCTCGGAGGCAATCCCTCTGAAGAAAAACTGAAAACCTGGCAAAACTGCCCAAATAAACCTTGTTGGAACTCTGGAAAGCAATCACAGGGTCAGCCACATGATCCCCGAGCCTGGGGCACAGGTTCTAGCTCGGCCTATCCCTGCCCATGCCTGGCACGACACCATCCTGGAGAGCAGCCCTTGGTTCCTGTTTGTGGTTCCCTTCTGTTTAACCCAGGCCAGGCTGAGCAGTAGCTACAACGGATAAGTGTTGCCATCTCAGGACAAAATTAGCAGTTGAGGCAAATGACAGACAGACACTCTGAAGGCCAAGAGAAAGGCTGGGGAGTGAGTGTCCTTGGGGAGTCAGGGTTTCAAAAAGCTCCCTCATGTACTGAGAAGCCTAGAAACCTGTAAGTGAGTTCAGGGCAGGGTGCATTCTCAGATAAGATCTTCCACCTCTGGTCAGTCTTTAGGTTTAGCACAAGCAGGAAGGGAGAGCTAAGGCGGAGTTGTAAACAGCCTGGCTAAGCATTTGAGGAGTGCTCCCAACACAGCTGACTCACAAAGGTATTGAAAGTGTATGGCTTTTCAATTTATTTTCCTCCCATTAGGTTCCAGGTGTTTGTCAAACAAGTAGCTGACTACTAGCTAAAGGTATAGTGGCTTCAGAGACTAACAAGGGCCAACATAATCTCTACAAAATAGTTTAGAAAAGTCACTAAATAAACAACGTTAAGATGGAGTGAAGAGTAGCAAATCTTAGGGGAGAAGTTGATTTCCAGAGTTGTCACAACGTAATATACTAAAAATGCCCAGTTTCAATGATTATGAAGCATGAAAAGAAATGAATATGCTCCAGTATTAGGAAAAGGAAAATAAGTTAACAAAACCTGTCCTTTAAGGACAGCAGGGCTACACCTGCAATCCTGGTTGAGATTGGGAGGATCGTGGTTCCAGGCCAATGTGGGCAAAAATGTTTTAGAAACTCCAGCTCAATGAAAAAAGCTGGGAGTCGTGGTACACACCTGCTGTCCCAGTGAGGGTAAAAAGGGTTAAACAGGAAGATAGCTGTCTAGGCTGAGCTGGGCAAAAAGTGAGACCCTATCTCCAAAGTATCCAGAGCCCAAAGGGCTGGAGGTGTGGTTCAAGCGGTTGTAGCTCAAATGGTAGAGTACTTCCGTAGCAAGTGTGGAGCCCTGAGTTCAACCTCTAGTACCTCAAAGAAAATCATGAGACCACACTGGGACAAGAGTCCACACCTTCACGCCCACCAGATGGCAAAAGTAATCACAATAAAATAAAAGCAGAAAATAGAAAGTGCTGGAGAGGATATGGAAACACTGGAACCAAGAAGCTCTGCTAGTGGGAGCAGCCTCTGTGGAGAGGGGTGGTGGAACCTCAGTAAGCTTAGCACAGAGTTCCCATGGGTCCAGATTCCACTTGTACGTACAAACTCCAAGGAGCTGGATGCAGGCATCAAATGAAATCTTGACACAGATGCTCACAGGAACTCCATCCACAGTAGACAAGAGGTGGGAGGAACTCAAACATCCACACGGTGATGAAATGTGCCCAAACAACAAAATATCCAGCCATAAGGAGGCAGAGGTACCTATGCGTGTTGCAGCAGGGGTGGATCTCAAAACACAATGGAGGTGACAGAGCTGACATGAGGCCACACACTGGGATCCATGTCGTCCGAAGGCAGAGTAAGGGTTCCAGGTCTGGGCAGTATGTGCTGGGGTCCACTTGGGTGGTGACAGCTGCACAATATGTGGAAGTGCTCCTGATACCACTGAGTCCAACGCTTTCAGATGGCAAAGTGGTGATGTTTATGTTCTACGCCTTTTACCCCAATTAAGAACATTGTGACAAAAATTCTACTTTGTCTATCTGTAAAGCAGTTTGAATTCTTGCATAAAAAAGAAAAATAATTTTGTTGGAGAGATGGTAAAATTTTTAAAATTTTATTTATGGAAATTTTGTTTGGAGAATATAAAGAATAGATTTAAAAAGACACCTAAAAAGCTAAAATGTTTAAATTAAGCCAAACTATTGCCCATAGAATACAAGCCTTTTCTGATATTATCAAAGGATCAATTAGTTTAAAACTTGAACAATCGCAAATACTTTCCTTTAGTTTTAGATAAGGTGTGTGGTTATGAAAAACTCACTGGACAATTAATACTTTGAAGACATTTGATTTAGGAGGAATTTCACATTTATAAAAAAGTCAATTGATGGCCTAAAAATTGTAGTGTAAAATCTTTTTCATAGTTTCCATCTGTCAGAGAAGAATTTCAGCCACCATGAGAACACAGTTTCTCTCCTGACAGAGGCTGTTCCAGCTGTGGGAGGTCAAAATCTGAATTTATTGGGAATTTAAGACAAAGGGCTGATATTTCTATTATAGCTTCATTCCACAGTATGGTATGATTGAAACTAGTTTTGTACAATTTTCTGAAGCAGATGCTGTAAAACCATCAAGAATGTGACCATCAAATTCTTTCAGTATATGTGTGGAAAAACTGGATGACTAAGCATTTGTGGAACAGAGGAGGCACAGGGGAGAAGTGTGTCATGACGTGCAGTATGCCAGTGCTGCAGGTAACACCGAGGTCTGGACAAGAAGCAACAGGGGACGAGGGGCATCACAACCATGCTGTTTGCTAGTACTTGTGGTTGACACCGAGGATTGGACAAGACTGGGTTGATAGTCTTCAAGATTCCTGGGAACAACAAGGATGCTTTCCATACCTCCGGTGACAAGGACAAACACAGCATTACTTCATTTCCTCACTATCACATCATTGAATTTGGTACCCCAAGGAAAGGAAGCTCACTTGTGACGTAGTGAGGTCTGAAAACGTATGTTGAAGTGAAAACACTCCATAATGTGAATCATACTAGTGATTTGATATATTATTCTAACACGAATCAACA